TTAATCCCTGCAGAGGCAGGCGTCCCGCACAAATATGCTCCATGCAAAAGTTTCAATCCCGGTTGTTTAAAAGTCATAAGCGGTAGATAGGATGCCAACAAACTAAGGTGTATACATATATGGTACAATAAAAACGACATATGAACACATACATATGTTTCTACATACAACCATACACATACATATGTATGTATGTACATCTATGCGAAAGACAATTGATATGCTTATTACATGTGTACATATGTATATATGTATGTATATATACGAATTTATATATAGGCAAATTCTAATTTATAAACTCATGCATATGGATATCATTGTATATGTACACTACGTTTTACACTTCTCAAATACACTCTTCTGAAAGACTCTGGCTTAAGTACTTTACATACAAAACTAAATTAACTGTTTTTTTCTATTAAATATCACCTCACTTCTAATTTTTACTTTAATTTCTAATTTTTCATTTGTAACCCGACGCGCACTCACTTGTATTTTAATTTCAACATGGCCGTTTCTATGATAAAACAACAAAAGCTCGTTTTATTTCATATGAAGTAATTGCACATCTCTAACAGCACAACAAAAAAAAAGCAGGAAATCCGCGCGCATTGGCGGGAAACGCCATTTTACTTCCTCTTAAAAAGCGGGTTTTGTGAAATGCCCCAAATCACATCTCTAGAAAACAGCTGATTTTTAGTTTTGCGATAACTAAATAAAGTAGTGGCATGTACATCGGTTTATCTAAAATTTTGTGTGAATTATGTGGCATAGATCTAAAATATTGTTGAACCGAAATTAAGAGAATGCTGCGCAGTCAAATTATAACAAATAAAAGAAGTAAGCCAAGAAGGGTATGCTGTGAAAGAGAAACGGAAGCGGATAGAGAATGTGTGATAAAGTGGTACTGTGGTCGAGTATAATGCAGGAGGTTTGTATAAATAATTATATTCAATAATTAATACGAGTAAAACCTAAATTTTTGAATAGTTTTTATATATAAGGAATTTTTTATGACATTGGCCGGCTAGTGCCACCTTCGTGCATTTTAGCATCGTTGGTGCAAAAGATTCAAAGTTTTAAACTGTGTTCGACTCAGAGCAGATTTTTACAACAACGAGCTCTTCTATTTTACCTGGCATAACACTTAAGTGCGTACGCATGCTCGTTTGCCGCCACTGGAATCTATTATTCCATTAGCGGAAATGCTTCTCTTAATCAGAAGATAAGTATTTTTGAGGCGAAGAACAAAAAGTACTTTTAGGGGTTTAGGAATACACCGACATTATTTTGAAGCAAGTGGTCGGTTATTAAAGCTTAAATAAGTATTAAGAAAGTAATCATCGATCAGATATGCAGTTTCCATATCTAATATCTGCAGTCCAAGAGAATCTCTTATTTTTTGTATCCTCTCTTGTCACAAATTACATTTCTTGCGGATATATGTATGCATATATGTAAACGAGCACACCAACAGTTTGATGTGGATCTGCTTTAGCACTTCATACGCTTACGATCTTAGCTGCTTGGCAGTCCAACGCGTCGCGAGATCGCCGCTCTCTTATGTACAAATGTTGAAATGCTTGTATTTGAGTATGTGACGATCCAAAATGTGCGACTCAAAGTTCGAAAAAGTTTTTCTTTAGCCTCTTTGCGAAAGGCCGGTCGATTGAATGGGTGGAATCAGTGCGTTTTTGCATTTCGAACGTGGTGATACGGTGGTTCGGAAGACGACCGATCGTTGGGTGAACGTATTGTGAAAATATACATATATATATATATACATATGTATTTATATGCGTACTTGTGTGTGTATATACATATACTTAGTATGTACATACACTGCTTATGAGTACTACAAAAATTACAAAATGAATTTAAAATAACGAAGTTGGTGAAAAAAAAAACAAAAACAAAAGAATAAAAAGTAAATGAATTAATAAAATGACCACAACAAAATCAGGTGGAGAGAAGTTTAATGTAATACAGAACGAAATCAAAATATAAATAATAATAAATAAACAAAACATTGATGTGTATGAATGTAAATACTTGCATATGTACAT